TTATTTATTTATTTGAGAGAGAGAGAGAGAGAATGAGAGACAGAGAGCATGAGAGGGAGGAGGGTCAGAGGGAGAAGCAGACTCCCTGCCGAGCAGGGAGCCCGATGCGGGACTCGATCCCGGGACTCCAGGATCATGACCTGAGCCGAAGGCAGTCGCCCAACCAACTGAGCCACCCAGGCGCCCCGAAACTTGATGTTTTTATTCACAGGTCTTCCTGAGCCCTGGAGCCACAGAGATCATGTCCAGTCCAGTGTTCAATGGACAGCCCTTAGGCTATTTGATGAGTTCAGATATGCCCATCCAGGGCGCCTGGGTGGCTCAGTCAGTTAAGCGACTGCCTTCGGCTCAGGTCATGATCCTGGAGACCCGGAATCGAGTCCCGCGTCAGGCTCCCTGCTCAGCGGGGAGTCTGCTTCTCCCTCTGACCCTCCTCCCTCTCGTGCTGTCTCTCATTCTCTCTCGCAAATAAATAAATAAAATCTTTAAAAAAAAAAAAAGATATGCCCATCCAACTCTTCAACTTGGGTACTTTCCTAGCGGATTAGAATGCAGGGTATGCCCCCCCCCCCTTATCCCTACAATTACACTTGAATTGTTTGATTGATGGAGCCACCAGATCCCCACACTTTTCAGGCAAGCCAGTCCCAGGTCAGAGGTTTGCAGAGAGAGGGGTCAGATGGGACAGATTCTGTCTCAGCTCCCCACTCTCCCAGCACTATCCTCAGTGAGCACCCACCCACTTGACCCCAGGGCTCAGCCAGGTGTTTTATAGGTTGGCAATCCCCACTCTTTCAACAGCTTCAAGCTTGTCCTTTAGTTTTACCTCCTATCAGGATCTTCCCCATTGTCAGCGCCACACATTCTAGTGCACATACTCAACAGTCAGTGGCATTTTAAGAAGGACACGTCTATCCAGACGGTCCCAACTTCAAATAGCACGTCCAGATTCTGATTTGATGGTCCCAAGGGCAGAATATCCTGGTGGAGCACTAGCTCCTACCATGGTTGGTGAACATGGTCATACATCATACAATGCTGGTTTTGGAACCGGTGTTAGAAATAACATATGTATCATTACAGGTGAAAAACAGGTAGGAGGATGGGAAAAAAAACAAAACAGCCCTATTCTCCTGCTTCCTCCTCAGGTCAGGCTTCATGCTCTCCAGTCTTTCCCTCCACTCTTGCCTTCTCCTAGTACATTCTCTCCATAGTCCTCTTCAGGCACTGAACTCTACCAGTCCCTAAATTACAGCGTGGCCTTTATTGCCATGCCTTTGTCGGGCTACGGAACTGGCACATCCTCTCTCACTCCTTCTAACCAGTTCGTACTCCTGGTGCCTGCTTTCTAGAAACCTCCTTGGTAATGTTTGGGCGCTTTTTCCTTTCGCCTCCCATGGTGCCTTGGGCAGATCTTTACCCATTTTTCTGTATGTGATGCCAGTTGCCAGCAGGTGTTCAGGAAATGCCTACTGACTAAAGGAAAAGCAGACAGAAAGTGAGGCCGAGCATCCAAATCTGAATCGAACACCAACACAGTACTTGGCAAGTGCCTGGTGACAAGCAGTAGTTCCCCATATGTAAAACTTTGTGTTTGAGAGAGGGGGAAAAAAAAAAAGGAGAGAACCCTGGTAGGGACCCTCCTCCCTATTTTGCCCAGCCCAGCCCTGACACTTGGGAGTGGTAGGCAAAGGCTGCCCAGTCATCACGTAGAACGGTCGGAGCACTGCTTCTCCGAGGAGGAAGGCAGAATGAGGCCCCCGAGAGTCCAAGAGGGGCCCCACTGCCACCCAACTACCAGAGGACTGATGATTCTGAGCTTGGCCCTACGTAGAAGCTGCGGTAGAGAAAAACTCAGGCTGTTCTCTAGATAGCTTCGCGCCCCTGCCATCTGCTGCCAGGCAGTCAGGAAAGAAGGCAGCATTGCAGAGTTTCCTTCAGCAGCTGTCAGAGCTGTGTTCCTGGGCAATGGAGCCCTTAGTTACACACAAGCTCCCGCCCACTTTGCTTCTCTCGACCTCCGACCAGCCCGGCTAGCGGACGTTCTCAAAAGTGGCGTCCCCGGCTCTCTGCGCGCTCCCCGCCGCTCCGCCCCCGGGGCCCGAACGCCAGTCCCTCATAGGCCGGAGCCCTCCCCGTCGTCCCGCCCCCGCCGCCCGAACGCCAGTCCCTCATAGGCCGGAGCCCTCCCCGTCGTCCCGCCCCCGCCGCCCGAACGCCAGTCCCTCATAGGCCGGAACGCTACCTCGACGCTCTGCCCCGCGCTTTGGCCCCGCCCCCGCGCCCAGTTTGAAGAGTGTTCGGGGTACGGTGGGCGAGTGGTGCTTTGGCGGCTGAGGTTCCACGCGTTTCCTCCCCCGGTGCGGCGCTCTGGGGGTCATGGGAGGAAGACCTGGAGGCCGCGCCGGGCTCAAGGGGCAGAGAAAAGGGGGGCAAGGGTGGGCTTGCCCCCTAGTGAGACCTCCAGGAGGAAGGGCAGTGGGCCGAGACGCGCACTGCTGATCTTCACTTCCCCTCAGGTGACCTGAGGCGCTTCCTTAGGTCACCCCCAATTCCTTGTCCCTAAATCAAAGCCTTAACTGCCCTGCCGGTTCCCCAACTATTTTGGTTCACGAACTTATTTGAGACCCTTGTGCCAACCGAATCGTTTTCGCAGTAGAATTTACCAACACAACAGAGCACAAAGCTCTGCGTCAAATTTTAAGAGGTTCACGACGTTCTGACGAGTCAGGGAGCCCATGTTAAGACCTCGCCTGCCCCCAACACTTTTGCCTATTCGGGCATAAGCCAGGGGCTGTATTTTGTACATAAATGTACATTGTTATATATATATGACTACCATTTGTTGAGTGCTTAGTACATTTTTGCGGTACATTTTCTTATCCTTTCAACAATCCTTGGAGGTAAGAATTCTAATCTCCACCAAGGTTTAAAAAGCTTAAGTCATTTGTCATTGCTGAAAAAAGGGCTAAAGGAATTAAAAGCCCGATCCCACGAATACAATTTAGGCCTTTCTTTATTCCTCCCAAATTGAGAGAGGACCAGGGTTTGACCATCCTTTTTCTGCTGCAATAAGGCTGAAGAATATCAGATGGTAGCTATAATTGTGGGTCTAGAGTTGTTGATTCCGTGTGTTGTACACCTGAAACTAATGTAGCATTGTGCGTCAACTATGCTTAATCAGTTTGAAGAACAAGACCCACTCCGAAAGCTAACAGTGGTTCATCATGCTGTTACTTTTTAATTTTTTTTAAATTTTAAAAGGATTTTATTATTTTTTAAAAAGATTTTATTTATTTATTTGTCAGAGAGAGAGGGCCCAAGCAGAGGGAAGGGCAGGCAGAGGGAGAAGCAGCCTCCTTGCTCAGCGGGGAGTCAATCCCAGGACCATGGGATCATGACCTGAGCTGAAGGCAGACGCTTAACTGACTGAGCTACCCAGGCATCCCAGTATTTTATTTATTTTAGTCAAAGATTTTATTTCTTATGCAAGAGAAGGGGAGGCGCGGGGCAGAAGCAGAGGGCGAGGGAGAGAGAAGCAGACTCCCTGCTGAGGGCAGAGCCTGATCCACGCTCAGGATCCCATGACCCTGAGATCATGACCTGAGCTAAAACCAAGAGTCAGGGCGCCTGGGTGGCTCAGTCGTTAAGTGTCTGCCTTCGGCTCAGGTCATGATCCCAGGGTCCTGGGATCGAGTCCCACATCGGGCTCCCTGCTCTGCGGGAAGCCTGCTTCTCCCTGTCCCGCTCCCCCTGCTTGTGTTCCTGCTCTCGCTATATCTCTCTCTGTGAAAAAAATAAATAAAATCTAAAAAAAAAAAAAAATTAAAACCAAGAGTCAGAGGCTTCACCAGCTGGACCACCCAAGCGCCCCAATCACACAGTTATTCATAAGTAGGGCACTAGTGTAGTTGAACTGGTCCTGTTACCCCATTGTGATGGCCAAACTCCTTCCTGTGCTAAACTGTCTTAACAAAATGATGCTTCGGCTAAAGTTAAATGTTTTCTGTTTTCCTAGAAATTATACTAATCTACTTATTCTAGAGAATCCTTACAGCACAACAGTTGGCTAGAGGCAATGCCTTCTGAGTCCAGTAATTTGTTTTTACAGAGGTGTCACAGATGTGTCTCCGAGGTGGCAGAACTTGATTTGGACCTCGAAGGTGAAAAATTTGGATAAGGCAAGTGGGGTGTGCCAGGTGAGAGAAATGTATGCAAGAGGGCTCTTGTAGTGGACCAGAAGCAGGGCATAAAGTGGATAAGGAGGTACAAACTTCCAGTTATAAAATAAATAAGTCACAGAGATGAAAAGTACAGCATGGGAAATGTAGTCAATAATATTATAATAACATTGTATGGTGACTACACTTACTGTGTTGAGCATTAAGTCTAGAATTGTCAAATCGGTGTGTTGTACACCTGAAACTAACGTAACATGTCAACTATACTTCACTTTAAAAAATTTTTTAAATTTTATTCATTTATTTATATTTATCTACTTTAGAGAAAGAGCACGTGCGCGTGTGTGTGTGTGCAAGCAGGGGGAGGAGCAGAGGGAGAGGGAGAGAGAATCCTGCAGCACAGCCCCCGCTGATTGCGGAGCCCTGTATTGGGCTCCCACCAAGGACCCCGAGATCATAACCTGAGCCGAAATCAAGAGTCGGTTTCTTCACCAACTGAGCCACCTAGGTGCCCCAACTTCTTGGTTTTTTTAAGTGAAGTCCCTAGAATAGACAAAAGTCAACTTGATTTTCTCCAGACTGCATTCAGTCTGGTAGGGCTTCCCAGTCCAGAGATAGGTCTAGACGGACTTGAACCCAAACCCAAGTGCTAGGAGAACCATAAAAGTGGTGCTGTAACTTGGTAATGTTTGTAATCTCTCTAGTTAGTGAAATTTTGCTAATCCCACATCAAATGGGACTACAGTTCCAATACTGAATTTCACCTTTAGTTGCTTTTTGCTCAAGAAAGCAGTGAACCGAGACGCGAGCAGCTGGCTCTTCGGGAACTAAGAGGTGTAACTGTTGTCGCGGCAGAGGAAGTCAGGAGGACGTCCTCGGCCATCCCGGCCAGTGTTGGGTCCCTGTAGCCTGTGAAGATGGTGTTGCTTACGATGATCGCCCATGTGGCGGACGGGCTCCTGCTGGCCGCCTCGATGCAGGAGGACGAACAGTCTGGCCGGGATCTTCAACAGTACCAGAGTCAGGCTAAGCAACTCTTTCGCAAGTTGAATGAACAGTCCCCTACTAGATGTACTTTGGAAGCTGGTGCCATAACTTTCCACTACATTATTGAGCAGGGAGTTTGTTACTTGGTTTTGTGTGAAGCTGCCTTCCCTAAGAAACTGGCTTTTGCCTACCTGGAAGATTTGCACTCAGAGTTTGATGAACAGCATGGGAAGAAGGTGCCCACTGTGTCTAGGCCCTATTCCTTTATTGAGTTTGACACCTACATTCAGAAAACCAAGAAGCTCTACATTGACAGCCGTGCTCGGAGAAACCTAGGCTCCATCAACACTGAATTGCAAGATGTGCAGAGGATCATGGTGGCCAATATCGAAGAAGTGTTACAACGGGGAGAAGCACTCTCAGCATTGGATTCAAAGGCTAACAATCTGTCCAGTCTGTCCAAGAAATACCACCAGGACGCGAAGTACTTGAACATGCATTCCACTTACGCCAAACTTGCAGCGGTTGCTGTGTTTTTCATCATGTTAATAGTGTATGTGCGATTCTGGTGGCTGTGAAGTAGTGAATCCAGTCACTGGCAAGGGTGAACCTAGAGCTCGGCAGGTGTATGTTTTCAGGAAACTGAGCTCACAGAGGTGTGTATTAGAGTTCCAAGTGGAACTTCTGCTTCTAAAGACCTTGCAAGGAAAGACATGTCCTGAAAATGAAATGTTACACCTCATTTGATGAAGCTTACGCCTTTGTAGAAAGTCTCTTTTGGGGGCAGAGGCTTTCTCTGGGTGCTGAGCTGTATACGTTAGGGAACAGTAGATTGTTTTATTTTGTTTTTTCCCTCCCAGTGTTTTTACATTTTTAAAACAGCACTGAGTGGGGCATTTCCTTTCTCTAATGGAGCCATCAGTGAGATCTGGCTTAGCCAACCTGTGCTAGCAACAGTCTGAAATTCCTTCAGAGAAGGCAGCCTGTTGGGAAGTTTTTCCACTCTAATCAACATTCCTTTTGTTGGTGACATTTGTGATTTTCAGTTTTTGATGGCCTTGTAAACAAGACTCCACTATGTGAAGGTTAATTGCTGTGCTGTAAAGATGTTGTCTGTTGGCCCCTGTAGGAAGTTGACCTTTGTTGTTTTCATTTTATGATATTTTGCTTATTGCACAACTGCTTTAGGGTTAAATGAATTATATTAAGATGCCTTGAAATTATATTATAGCACTCCTTGATTAAGAAGCTAAAGTGTTTTCTGTCATTTTCTCCTTAAAAGACTTAAATTTAGTTTGGGACATTCTTAATTTTATCTTTCAGCATCCAGTTTGTATTAATAGAAGAGTAAGTATAGCATACAGATAGCCAGAGTCCCCTGACTTAATGGGAAGAAAGGCCCAGCCCATCACTACAGCTTTGTCCTGCCCCTTCTTACTTTCTCCACTGTAGTTTTCCCCACTCTCTTTTCCTCCTGCTGAAATTTTAAAACTTCTCTGCACCCAGTAGTTTCATGTCCATAAGCATCCTCTCAGGATATTCTTGAATTTCAAAATGGAAAATGTTTAGCTGTGTAGTTAGATTTAAATTTTTACAGAGCAGCTACTCAAACTACTAAATACATTTATCTGAATAAGTCTCTGAGAACACCTTGTACCTGCTTCAGTTTATGTAAATTCTCTGAGAATGTTCTAGAGTTAGATAACTCATTTAAGTGGCTTCTATTAACAAATAAAAGTACCTGTGATTTTTCCCTTTTTTGCTCAGGGATGATGGGGATTTCCTTTTACCTCCTGAGGTAGAATTTTTTAAATGGGGAGACTAGACCTCTTAAATATTATCACAAGGATCTACAATATAAACTAGAATTTACACATACTGCAAATATTTCTTTAAGTCCTATAGGAAAATGAGCCAGCTTCTTACTTCTTAACATCTTTGGAGAGAACTTTAACTAGTAAACAATTTTATAACTAAGGGATCATCAAAGCTACTGTCCTGATTCCTGATAGAGAAAAAAAATCCTATTTCCTAATAACAAAGCAAGGAGAAGTGGCTTATTTTGTTCCTGATAAATTAGATAACTAGAATAAATTTTTTTTCTTTCCATTTTGGACCTAAGTCTCCCAATTGGAGTATGTGCATGAAATATGAAGTTACTTTTTATAGAGAATAAGTGCTTTTAAGTCCCTAAAAGGCTTGTCCCTAGAGTAATGATATTGGTAATAAAAGCCTGAAAGTCTGAAAACCTTAGTGGTACCATAACATTTGGTTCTTCTATAGGAGTGGAGAGTGGCAGCTCGTTGTTGAGAGTTGCATGCAGCAACCAAGTGGCCAGCAATGAAATAAATACTTCTAGAATGTTAAAAAAAAAAAAAAAAAAAGCAAGCAGTGAACCAAAATCTGCATTTTGACCCCTGTAACACCTGTACCTCGCCTCAATTATTTCTTCTTTTTTACTTTTAACAGCCTTGAAATCTGTTCCATGCAAAACCCTTTGACTGGAGGAATGTGTTACCCATTAACCCAAGCCCTTCCGATACAATCAAGGAAGAAAGCTCTTTTTATTTTTGCAACATAAAGGGCTTGTTTGTAGTGGCATATTGCCATCACTGAAGTTAGTGACTTTATTTATTTATTTTTTTTTTTAAGATTTTATTTATTTATTTGAGACAGAGAGAATGAGAGGGAGGAGGGTCAGAGGGAGAAGCAGACTCCCTGCCGAGTAGGGAGCCCGATGCGGGACTCGATCCCGGGACTCCAGGATCATGACCTGAGCCGAAGGCAGTCACTTAACCAACTGAGCCACCCAGGCGCCCTTAAGTTAGTGACTTTTTTTTTTTTTTTTAAAGATTTTATTTATTTGAGACAGAGAGAATGAGAGAGAGAGAGCACATGAGAGGGGGGAGTGTCAGAGGGAAAAGCAGGCACCCTGCCGAGCAGGGAGCCCGATGCGGGACTCGATCCAGGGACTCGATCCAGGGACTCCAGGATCATGACCTGAGCCGAAGGCAGTCGCTTAACCAACTGAGCCACCCAGGCGCCCTGAAGTTAGTGACTTTAATAAACATCTTAAATTACTTGTTACGACGCCCCAAATCAAAACCCACATTCCAAAGCAAGGCTTACTTTATATACTAAGTAATAGCCAGAAAATTATTGAGCCTTGATGTCAAACTTTATTTTTAAATTTTCATTCATTTATTTAAAGATTTTTAGGGGCGCCTGGGTGGCTCAGTTGGTTGGGTGACTGCCTTTGGCTCCGGTCGTGATCCTGGAGTCCCGGGATCGAGTCCTGCATCAGGCTCCCTGCTTGGTGGGGAGTCTCCTTCTCCCTCTGACCCTCCCCCCTCTCATGCTCTCTCTATCTCATTCTGTCTCTCAAATAAATAAAATCTTTAAAAAAAAAATTTATTTGAGAGAGAGCACACAGGAGCTGGGGGGACGGGCAGAAGGAGAGGGAGAGTGAAAGGGAGAAGCTGACTCCACGCTAAGTGCGGAGCCTGACTTGGGGCTCCATCCCAGCACCCGGAGTTCATGACCGGAGCCGAAGTCAGATGTTTTACTGACTGGGCCACCCAGGCACCCCTAATTTTTATTTATTTTTTTAAGATTATTTAAGGTCTACCCAACATGGGGCTTGAACTCACGACCACCAAGATCAAGAGTTGCATGCTCTTCTGACTGAGCCAGTCAGGCACCCCCTTAATGTCTAACTTTAAATAAATCAAGGTTAAGAGGCTTTGTAAATAGAGGTCCTGACTTTTGTCAGTGAACTGCATCCCCAGCTGAACCCTATATAAGGGATGCCACAAAAACAGGGCCTTTTTTAGGACCTTTGTTTTGTTTTAGGACTTTCTAGTTAACAATTTTTTTTTTTAAAGGGCAGAGAGGGAGAGAGAGAATCTTTTTCTTTTTTAATGTTTTTTGTTTATTTATTCATGAGAGTCAGAGAGAGAGAGAGAGAGGCAGAGGCAGAGGGAGAAGCAGGCTCCCCGCCTAGCAGGGAGCCTGATGCAGAACTCGATCCCAGGACCCTGGGATCATGACCTGAGCCGAAGGCAGACGTTTAACCATCTGAGCCACCCAGGCGCCCCTCTAGTTAACAATTTTTAAGCAATGCCTTTCCTTTCAAGGAGGAGGACAGTGGCCACCACCCAAAGGGCTTCATTTACATTTACATTGTTTCTTAGGAAGTTTCCCTATTCCGAACAAAGTGTCTTTCACATTCTGCAGGGGGTTCTGACTCTTGCATTACTTGTACCTTTGAAAATTACATAGCTAAATTCAGGAAAATGAGCTAAATAAACTGGAGATCATTTATTTCACATTATTTGTTCCTTCACTGCACTATTTTTATCTTCTTGTTAGTTTCAACTCAACAAATAATGAGTCCAGAGGTAAATTTATTTGATGGACACAACTGTAATAGAATTGTGATTGCTTATGTTAAAAGAGCTAGCCCAAAGCTTGTTGTCATTCTGTACATTGTTGTGGGAAAGATTTAAAGGAAGGAAGGGTTTAAGTCTCAAAAGTAGCTCGATAATCCTTACCAAAATGATTAATGTTTTTCTTCACTGATGAACCAGTGATCATTTAGTGATATTGATGTGGGAAACAAAGGCAAGAGAAAAATTATTAAATTTCCTTACTACCTAGAGCCCACTCACAAGTCCTTGAAACAGGCAGAGTGACATTCCTCTAGGGACTCAACTGCCTCGATGTTAATACTTTGCAACGGGCAAAAGGCAATCCTAGCCTGAACCCCCCTCTCCCCGCCCAGGATCCTGTAAGTCTACTTGAACATATAAAAATTCCTTTGGAAACTTCCTTTATCTCTAACCCCCACCCCAAGATACGTGTTGACAACCCCCCCCCCCCAGCATATGGCCCACTGATATACATCTGAAGGGTCTCATGACTAAGGTTTTATTAGACGGTAATAAATGACCTTTTCCCAACAATAGCTAGCCCCCTCAAGGTCCTGGAAACCTTGCTTCCAAATTCCTTAGAGATTTAGGCTGTCCCTAACCTCCTCCCAACTTGAAAGTATATAATGGGCCACTCCTCATGAACCTGGTGCGGCTCTTTCTTGCCCGTGGGTCCTGTCCAAGTGCTTTAATAAAACCACCCTTTTGCACCAAAGACATCTCAAGAATTCTTTCTTGGCCGTCGGCTTCGAACCCTAATAACATCTTTCCTACATCAATATTAGTATTTAGTATTGTTACATCACTGTTTCTGCTAAATGAAAAATCCATGTACTCTGGCATCAGAAAAACCTGAGAAGCTTGTAGATGATTGAGATTCCTGCCCTCCACCCCCACTCCAGGTCTACTGAATCACAACCTGCGGTTGGATTATTTTTTCTTTTGTGCTTTTTAAAAAAAATCTTCCCAGGAAGGGCACCTGGCTGGCTCTGTCAGTAGAGCATGGGACTCTTGATCCCCGGGGGGTTGTGATTTTGAACCCCACATTGGGCACAGAGTTTACATAAAATAAAATCTTCCCAGGAGATGCTGATGCATACGAACGCTAGAGAACTTTGATGTAGATAAAACCAACTGGTTGCCTTATTTTTCACATTTCAGCAGTCAACACTGTTGTCAGTTCTACTTCAGTTTGCCCTTAAGTTGTCCTCAGGCAAATTAGGCCTTGGTACTTAAGCAAAGATTGTTCAGAATCTTTGTACAAAGGGAAAGTTCTATTATCTTCATAATTTCAAAGTCCAAGAAATTTCCAGTGAGCAAAATGAAAATTACAGTTGGATGATAAAAATGGATCTTGACACTAGAGTTTTTCAAAGACCATGTTAGCATTTTATTTTTCTATTCCTGACACTCGAATTCATAGGGGGTGAATGATAATAGAACATAATCAAAATAACATACAAACACAATTCAAGAACATTTAACCATCTATTGTAGCTGTTCTTTGTAAAATACATAAAGGTAAACAGAAACATCTTTATATAAATTATGCTTAACAATCTGTATACACTGTAAAACCATTGTTAAAATTCACACTGAGATGCTAGTGCAAGCAGTGGTGTGCAAAAGTGCAAACAATGTTAGTGATGAAAAACTTACACCGACTTAACCACTTCAACATACCCCGCATTCAGTCAAATACTGAAGGCCTCACCACAGAAAAACACTTTGATCACTTTCAAAGTAACGTGACTACATTCACCCTGAGTGCTATCATCTCAGTATGTCAACTGATGATGAGTTCAGGTTAGAAGCAGCACCAGGGAATAGAGAAACCCATGTGAAGTTTGCCATTCCGATGTGAATCTTTATACTTGATAATGAAAACAATTCCAAAGACCACTTGTATGTCAAAAGCTATAGAACTATCACCCCCCCTTGCCCCAAAATACTTAAAACTGAAATTAATTCGAATTCTCTCTTCCCCATTTAAAATGCATGCTGAAGAATTCATCCAGTGCAATGCAGCTTTTGCAAAAATAACTCGGTGTGAAATCACTCAAAAGGTTTTCCCATTTCTGCCCTAAAACCTATTTGGGACAAGGATGCTCCTGAAACAAAGTTTACTTTGGATAAATTTGCTTACTGTAATTACTTTTGATTCTATTTAAAAGTGTGGTCAAATCCCTGAACAATCGATCAGTGGTATTAAATGCATTAGTTACCTAATGTTCTAAATTATGAGAACAAAAATGTGTTGGTTCAGAGCTACATCTTCAATAGACTCTGTAGATTCCCTTCATACTTTTTATCCAGCTGTGGTGTGGGAGTGTGTGAGGGGGGATGGGTCAGGGATCAGGAGTAGAAACACGGTTTTAACAAAATCCCAATCACTTTGCACAGAGGCACAGTCCCATATTCCTAGACCTGTTAGACTGTACCTTGGGGGGGGGGGGGGGGAATTAAAAAGCACTAATTTGCATTTCCAAAGAACAGTGATGGAAGCCATCAGAAGCATCACCATGTAGCTTTGAGAATTTAGACCTTAACTGAAGATACACTGTTCTGAACTCTTAGATTTACAGCAAAAAAATGAAAGGTTTACAGAAAACCTTTAATTCACCATTAATTTTGCATTAAGGAATTTTTATTTGCTAATCTTTTTTTTTTTCATGGTTTCTTGGAGATTTTTTGAAGCTTCACCAACTTTTACATAGGTTTAAAATGATCCAAACAATATACTCTAAGTAAAATGAACACAAGATATTTTGAGAGCATTCCCTTCATATTAGCTATTCTCATTGTACTCTGGTCAAAGTTGGGCAATAAATCCTTGCAAACTTGAATCACATGACTATCAAGACTGAAATGCCACACTGAGTCACAACCCGTACAGTTTCAGAACATGTAGACCTTTCTCCTGTAACTCTCAAATCATGTCAACTGGAATTACACTGCTTTTAATGATGGAATTTGTGAAAATGCTGTATTTTGAATGTGGCTGATCAAATCATTTTGCAGAAGGCAAGAAGCAGTATTATCACAGCTATTACCCTATTTTAATAATTTTACAAGTAGTTTATGTGCTGGAAAGCACTAGGAAGAAGTGTGAGCCAGTTCAAAACTAAGGAAAAGAAACAACACTGTAAACCACAGTAGATGTATATATAAACACAGGCACACAAAACTAAACATTACAGCTATGCAGGCAATATCTGGATTCATACATCTTTGGCATTCAGAGATACTGGGTCAACCAAGCCAATAGTGAAGAATTATTTTCATATATTTTAGGAAATGTCTTGCCCCAATTTTAAAAAATGCTATGATCTCCATTCTAAAAATTCACTGATAAAAGACAAACTGGAATCAATTTAAAAAGTTACCTGAAAATATAATTAACAGCAGTCCTTGAAAGAGGTGTGGGGTTAAGGGTTTCTTTTAGAGCTTTAGACTGAAGATTTTAAGGTATCTTTTGAGCAGTGCCTGATTTATATGGAATCCAATTTTAACTTGTATACATTTTCACAACTTATGGTAAAAGGTACATAATTTTTTTTTTAAAGATTTTATTTATTTATTTGACAGATAGCACAAGTAGGCAGAGAGGCAGGCAGAGGGAGAGGGAGAAGCAGACTCTCCACCGAGAAGGGAGCCCGATGCGGGGCTCGATTCCAGGACCCTGGGATCATGACCTGAGCCGAAGGCAGTCGCTCAACCGACTGAGCCACCCAGGCGCCCCAGTAAAAGGTATATAATTAATCTATGTCCCCAGTGCTACCATTTACCCCCAAAATACTGCACAGGTGCATGCACTTACACAAGCACAGAGAGAGCATGTTTTCCCCATGTGCTTCTACTGTTTCTTGCTATTCTCTTAGTATGTTTCTTTTGAAGGGGAGCAGTGACTCAGTGGATGTGTTCAGAGGAGCTGGAAGAGTGAGATGGGAAACCCAATGACTAGGGTCCATCTCCCTGGAGCTGGGGGAAAAGCCAGTTGCTGCTATGCACAGCTTCATTTCTGAATGTTCAGGCCATAAGAATCCTACATCATTGGGAAAATAGCCAGTTTAGTTGTGGTCCACAACTGACTTTGTTTCTTTGATCCAGTGTCCGAACTAAAATGAGAATTCTGGAATGATTTATTTTGTACCAGAAAGCATTTCTCCCCTTTAGAGAAACTAGTAAGGTTTTTCCTTTACACCAATTTATGATACAAATAATTTCTCAATATCACAATATAAGGAAATACTTGAAAGAAAATGCATGTCCCTGTAGGTATTCAAGACAGATATCAACGAGAGGCAGTACTTTTAATAAGGCGCAGTTCTGTTTAGTAAGGATATTAGAAGTACTTGTTTTAGTTTTATTTATTTAAGTAATCTCTACACCCAGTGTGGGGCTTGAACTCACAACCCCAAGATCAAGAGTCACATGCTCCACAAAATGAGCCAGTCAGGTGCCCCTAAAATAGTGAGTACTTGAATTACCCGTGGCAGGATAAGCCAACAGGTTGGTATGTCATTTCCTCCTTTTCCCATGATGCTACTGATGATTCTAAGCAGGAAAGAAGCTCTTTTATTTGAAAGGAAGGTTAAAGTGAAACAGAAAAGCCCTATTACTAAAACCAGAGGTCATGTTGAAATGACCTTGTTGGTTTAGCTAACTGGTATTTCCTTTCAGTCATATCCCTTAATCCTTATCTGTCTCAGATGTTCCATTATTAATGACAGAACTAGAGTAACTGATTTGGAAAAAAGCTAAAGAAAACACTAATTCTGATATTAAAATTATTCTTGAGGGAATTGGAAAATCTATTCTCAATGGAATTGGTGAAATATACTATAAAATCCTGGTTTATAACCAAGAGAGAACTCTCTTAAGTTTGAGTCTTTAAAAATATATATTTGGCACTTCCTTTCAGCTTATTTTAGTAATTATGGGAATCTCAGAACCTCATGGAAAAAAACAAACAAACTCAATTTCTTAGAAAATTAAAGTGCTTTAAAACCTACCTAAAATGTTAGTCTATCAGTGAGGCCTGCAGACACTATCACATGGAAGGCATTACTTCTAAAAACAAAAGCCTTTGTGCTTAAAAGTAAGAGCTGAGAGCAATTAAGAAAAAGGAAAACCAAACACAAGCATTCGTTTATTTCTACTGAGAAATAAAATATGCCAAACAATGCAAAAAAGCTATAGGACAGGACCAGAATCCCCATGCAGCTCAGAAGGCAGAAGAGGCTTCCTTTCTCACACATATACAGGCCTCCACAATGAAACTACGCACAAGGTGCTACTTGTCGCTTGCCCTGGGAGTACCATTATGTAAAAGGGAGTGGGGAGTACCTCTAAATGTGGGGAGACTGGTGCCTGTCACTACTTCTGGTGAAAAGGCACAAATAACCGAACTGGGCACCAGTAAGTTTGGAACACTTCAGAATCAGACAACTGGAATGGAGCTATAGGGCCTATCAAACCCCAGATTAACCTTGTGTTGTACCAGATGTGCTTTTCTTCAAAAGACCGATTCCACGGAAACTAGGAGGTGGCCCCCATCAGCACTAATAATGGTAGCATTACTGTTACAAACACATGTGATTCAGAGATAAATGTGGTACAAGGTGGAACTAAACACAGCTTGTCTCCTGGTAAATGCAAAAGCCTCTAGAGACTTATACATTATCCTAAAAATTCTGAAGTGGTCTCCTTTCCCCACAACCCCCTCATACCTATTTTATTAAATACTCAAAATTTCGGAGCATACTAGCTAGATAAGACACATTAAATGAAACATCTGTCCAACACAAATGCCAAACATCAGGGTGTGTTTTATTGCATGACGTTTGCATAAGAAAAAATATTATTGAAAACTGTAAGGCATCATGCAATCATCAATAAGCTAATTATTAACTGTACACTTAAGACAGGTGGACGTATAATCTAAAATTTAAAAACTAGTCCCAAAATAGTACGTAAAAATTTAACATGATGAGCTTTTAAACATGGTTTATATTTGTAGCTTCACGTTGTTCAAAAGTGCCTCAAATGTACTGCTGGGAAGTTGTTCTTTACAAATGGTGCTGGGGATAATGTCAGATTATAAACGGTATAAACTATTTTTATGGAATTAGAAAGCTAACATTGTGATACTCAAACTTACTTGAATCAGTTTTCAATTTGCACTCAGATTAAGTTGATAAAATATTAATAATCTAAAAAACATGTTTTCTAACCAACAAAAGTCTATTGAATTCAAGTTATGCATGTTGAGCGGATCAAATCTCTGGGCAGGCCTGAATGGTGAGACCTGGAACCGATGCAGGCAGTTGTTAATCAATGTACTGTGCCATCCAACGGAAACCTTCTCCGTAGCCTTGCCTTTTGAGCACGCTGCACATGAAAACCTCTAAGGGTCGGGCATTCAGTTCTTTCAGAGATACATTGCCCTAGAAGGGAAGACAGACATTATATTATGATGGATGACCCCTTTATGAAATAAAAGCTCCACTTTACAGCTGAATTGCAGCTTCTACGTCTCAGAACAAAGGGTGACTGTGCTAAGCCTTGGGTGTTGGGCGGACAAGTCCCTTAGGCACACAGGAAACCTCCTTCTCTCAGTGGGAAAGAGGGGAGTTTCTGAGGCACAAAAGAATGAAAATAATCTTTGACTTAGAAAAATTTAAGTTACCCAAGCCAGCTTCACTAATATTAAAGACAAACCTTTTTGAGTAGGTTTATGACTCAACAAGGCATTTCCTAAAAATGGGGAGTTGACTTATAGAAAAGAAGACACAGAAAACAGACTAAAGTCTACCCTAACATCAGAGTCTCCTTCCAAAGAATGCAGTATTTCTCTACTCTGAAAATATGTGTGTGTGTGTATATACACACACACAAACCAAGGAAATTTTGTTTGTAAACTCTGATATTTTTCAATACCAAGGTCTCTCCCTCAAACAAATACTAGTAAAAATGATTGCAAAAATAATGCATTTTGAAGCTTATTATAAAGTATTATGTTCAGGGATGCCTGGGTGGCTCAGTCGGTTAAGCATCTGCCTTAGGCTCAGGTCATGATCTCAGGGTCTTGGGGTCCAGCCCCGCTTCGGGCTCCCCCCTCAGTGGGGAGTCTGCTTCTCCCTCTGGCTCCCCCTATCCCTCATGCTCACTCTCTTTATCTCATATAAAATCTTAAAAAAAGTATTATGTTCAGAAAATCCCCAAACACTGTTCAAATTTACATTTTATTTTTATCTCTGATGAACTTAGGGCCTAAATACATTATTGGAATGCTTAAACCTTTAAGTATATTATTTGGTGGCTAATTCTGAAAAACTAAGAAGAATAAACTTTGAAAGCTTTCATTCAGTTTCCCACAAGCATGAGCTTTAACATTTTTGTTATCCCTAAGAAAGGGTTTCATTCAGTGGTAGAAAGAAAACACATGAAGACTAATTTAAAAAGACCCAAATGTACAAATGACAGTTTTTAAGAAAATAAAAAAAAATAATGGGCATAGTAGTTGGACAATAGTAATTTAAAAAGACATTTGGTTGTAGACTTGAAACTAATGTTACGTGTCAGTTATACCTCAATTTAAAAAAAGGCAGACCGCCAATTGGACTAATCACACCATGATTACTGTTAGTGCTAGTATTGGAATAAACTATTTCAGAAGATAAAAACAAATAAGGTATTAAATTAAAAGACCCTTACACTGTCAAATGAAATATTCACACTAGTAAAAAAAAAAATTGTTTTATTTACCTTTCCTGTTGTCTGACCATATAAACCAAACATCTCTCGCAACCTCTCTTCACTGATGGCTTCAGGTCTGTCAATCTTGTTCCCAAGAATTAGTATAGGCACATTAGCAATGGTTTCATCTGTCATTAGTGACTGAAACAAAACAAAATGAAAGACAAGATGTTGATATGAAACTATCTGAAGAGCTCCTTATGATAAGATACCAATGAGTATCAAGGACTCATTCTCTATCATAGCACGTCAGTATTGCCAAATTTCTTTGACAAACTTTTCGTACATTTTAAAGCAAGCTCTGGGGCGCCTGGCTGGCTCAGTTAGTAGAACATGCAATCCTTGTTCTGGGGGTTAAGTTTGAGCTCCAAGCTGGGTGGAGAGAGGAGTTAAAAAAAAAAACAACTTAAAAAAAAAGAGTGAGCTCAAAGAAACTGTAAGCTCAATTCTTCTGTTTCCCTGTAACTCCTTCTGTAAATGCTCAACTCTGCTCACTCTGTGAATCTCTAAGGGACTCTAAAACAAATACCTTGAAGGTGAGCAGACCTGGTTTCGATTCTAGTTCTACTGTTTATGAATTATGAGATCTTGGACAAATAAGCCTCAATGAAGTTCAAAGAGAATTTGGAATAGTAGCACCTACCTTATGGAGTTGATTTGAGAATTAAATGAGTTAATATACCTGTGCCTGGCACAAAGTAGGTAGTTAGGAATTCCCTGACCTTGTTCCATGACCACAGAACCTACCTGGACTTTGCCACATGAACAGTTACTTGCCTGCTCTGGGCAGAGGCACAGTCAAGGTCAAATCATTGCTTTCTCTGTGGTCCCAGATCTAGCCCTGGCCTTCCCAGCTGATCCTGAGCCACTTTACGAAGCATCTGACCTGGAAGAGGGGGAGGAGAAGTGGCTACAAATGCCCCTACTCACTCCTGGAAGTGGTGACTAAGATAATATGTTATACCATTTCCAGGTTCCAGCCAGCTCCTGAAGAAAATGGCATCTAGGATGACCAGGGACTCAAGACCAAGCCACTCCAGGTATGCCACAGACATGAAATATACTAGAAAGGCATGCTGCACAGAGTGAGCTTAGGTCTTCAGGAAGAAAGTCTGTGTTAGTATGTCCTCAATAGCTACAATTACTCCAAGCTACTGTCTCTGCATTCTAAGTGGAGTAACCACTGAGCTCCATAAATTGCCAGGAGTTATATCAGAGACTGCAGAAAAGCTGCACTCTGATACCTAGATCTCCAACCTATTTCCTCAAGCTTACCACAGTGATTCAGCTATGTTTAGTTTTAGTTAACTTACATCAAGTTCTTCTTTTGATTCTAACAGCCTTTCATGGTCTGCACAATCCACCAGAAATACAATGCCATTGATAGCAGGAAGGTAGTTTTTCCACACTCTTCGAGCTAACAAAAACAATCAGGAGTTAGATTTTATTTGCTGGTCAAACCTAGCAGATGGTTTGATGGAAGAGTCCAACAAGATATCAAGTATAATTATCCCTTAGCTGCTACCACTTCACTATATACTCAAGTTAATCTTTAACCCAGGGTTGCCAAATCTTTCCAGAGGACCGAGGAAGGCTTTCCTTGATGTGAGCAAGTCAAATATTTTACTCTGCCCCAATTCTCCCAAGTTAGAAGTGGAATTATTATTTGCTACCAATGGACAATGATGCACATTAAGTTCACTGGATGACTGCCACTATTTTTTAATTTTATTTATTTATATGCAGTATTCATTTTTTGACATTTTATCAGTTTTTTTGCCACTGATAAATTCGGAGTCAGTGAAAGAAGGAAATTTGTGGGTACAGACTTGTTACGTTAAAATAATAAAAGCAAACTGTTATAACAGAAGTTAAAGTCGATGAAACCTTTAGGGTAATTTTTTTCCATGACATTATTTTTAGAAAAGTTTTAGGGGTGCCTTAGGGGTAAGCAACTTTTTTCTGACTTCAGTTTTATGATATATCTTAAAAACAACACAGAAATTAAGTCTCAGACAAACTCCATTAGGTTCCAGTTCTAACCATTATATTCTGGAAAATACTTCATATATATTTCAAATAATTATTATGTCTCAAATGTGCATTCACTAGCCACAACCAATCAAAATCTTTTCAATTATTTGTCTTAGGAGCTTTCAGAATGCCCACCAACTTTGTAATATTCACTATTTATGAATTACCATGTGCTGGGCACTGCCATGTCTTTTGGGGGACATAAGAAATAGACTTTAGTTCCGGAAAGTTTAGTAGAGGAGATAACAGTCTTTTCCAAACTTGGAGACATTTACACAAATGCACTAAGCACTATGGAAGTATAATTAAGAGGACTCCCAGGTGAGAGTGGCTTCTCAGGGGAGGTAGCCATACTTACACTGACTGGTCCCTGAAGGTGGGTTACTTGTGTGCAGATGGGGATGGCATGAGCAAAAGCACAGAGGGGGAGAACATCAAGAGGGTTTTGTTTAGTTGGAGTACAGAGAATAGGAAAGGGAAAAAAGGAAAATAAAGACTCAAAAAATAAGCTGGGATCAGATTACAGAGATCCCAAATGCCAGGTCAATGAGTTTGGCTTCCATTTTGTAGGTCAGCCATTGAAGATTTTTAATACAGAGCAGTAACATCATAACATGATTATGACAATCAGTGAGATGTGAATTGGAGCAGAGGACAGAGGTTAAATTTAGGTTCATGCTTTACACCTAAAGCAATTCAGACTTAAATTGACCAGGAGTATCATGAAAATCACTTTGGTTTAAAGCTTATCTGGTGGTAATAATTCTTAAATTTTAAGTCTACTCTGGCCTTCCTTGAACAGAATGAGATTTCATGCACTGGAAAATAATGGCCACATTTTTATTAAAATAAAATAAAGCAACTGTAAGAGTAATAGAATCTTACCTTGAACATGTCCACCCAAATCAAAAGTTGTAAAGGTCATGCCAGCAATGGTTAGTTCTTCTGAAGCTAAATAATAATATAAAATATTTTTACAATGGGCACCTGGGTGGCTCAGTTGGTTAAGCAACTGCCTTTGGCTCAGGTCATGATCCCGGAGTCCCAGGATTGAGTCCCGCATCAGGCTCCCTGCTCAGCAGGGAGTCTTGGCTTCTCCCTCTGACCCTCCTCCCTCTCATGCTCTCTGTCTCTCATTCTCTCTCTCGCAAATAAATAAAATCTTAAAAAAAAAAAAATTTTTACAACAAGAAAATCAGATATCCATTCATGGTATATATTGCTACTTAATGTTTGATTAACTGCAAATAAGTTCAAATCAGACATTTAGGAACTAATAAAAGAATCTGTTATAATTAGATATACTTCAATTTATATTGACAACATAACACAAGTAATGGTAATATTCTACTATTCACTACCTTCCACAAATCCAACATTTTTTTTCCTTCTTTCTTTCTCCTGCTGAAAATATTAACTATTCAGGTAATTATGTGTTGTGAAATCAAGTAACTGCTCCAACCTTATAATTTTTCCTGTAATTCATCTTAGATGACACTGGGGAAATAATTTTCTCTCATGGCTCTCATATTAGCAAGTGATAGTCTTTAATGATAAACACAGTTGCAATAAAAATTTTTGCCATGATGTCTTCAAATTTTTTTCTGCTCCCTCCCTCCTTCTTCTAGGACTTCAAGTATAGGTTGGCTAGACTGCTTCGTATTATCCCACAGGTCACTGAGTATCTGTTCATTTTCTTTTCATTTTTCTCTCTGTGCTTCATTTTATATAGTTTCTATTATGTTGACTTAAGTTCACTGGTCTTTGCTATTTTGTTGTTAATCCTATGTAGTGAAAATTTCAGTTGTTGTATTTTTCATTTCTAGGAGTTCCACTTGGTTCTGTCTTGTATCTTCCATTTCTTTCCTCATTCTTTTCATGTTTTCCTTCAGGCCTTGAGCACATTCATCACAGCTCCTTTGGGATCCTCATCTGCTAATTCCATCATCTTAGTCACTTCTGGGCCTGTCACTACTGATTGATTTTTCTCCTGGTTGTGGGTCACACTTTCCTGCTTCTTTGCATGTCTAGTCATTTTTCACCGGATGCTAGATTTCATTGTATTCTTTTCAAGTAAGGTGGACTTTGTTCTGGCAGGCAGTTAAACTGCTTGCAGATCAGTTTTTAATTTTGTTGGGTTATCGTAGTCTTTACAGGTACTTCAGCCCCATTAATAAGGTATGATCCTTCTGGAGTCTCTCCTGAATGCCACGTCTCTCCCTTCTGGCTGGTGGGAACATGAATGATTCCTGGGCCCATGTGAGCTCTGAGAATTATTTGGTTAACAGCTCTGCTACAATTATTCTTTCTCCAGAAATTGTTCTTTGTTTGGCCATGGGGAGTTTCACCCTATGCACACAGATTGGTATTTAGCCATGAACATTTCTGCAGTTCTCTGTCTGCAGAGCTCCTTCTCTGGTACTATGCCAAGCAAATTCTTGTCACCCCAGTTTCCCCATATTCTAGTCTCTCTCTCCTCAACTCAGCAAGACTACTGGGTCATGTTTGGGTTTCTTCTTCCTGCACCATGGTCTGAAGATTATCTCTGTGATAAAGCCTGAATAAAGAAAGGTTTGTTTTCCTTCTCTCAGGAATCACAGTCCTGTGCTAAATATTGTCCAGTTCTGAAAACAGTTGTAGTATATATGGTTGTCCAGTTTTCTAGCAGCTTACAGTGGGAGGATAATTCCAGATGCTCTTACTGCCCCACAGCAAAAGCAGAAGTCCCCTACAATTATAATGAAAGGTTCAGTGTAATTTTAACTATTCATTACAATTGCTGAGGCCCCAGAATAGTTTCTTGTTAAAAAATTCTTTATATAGACTCCCAACTGAATGAACCAATACAATTTGTGTTCAAAGTGTGTTCCTTTCCATAAGGAAAATAAAATGCTTGGATGTGGTTGGGAAACTACCTTTATGGTTACAATCCCTAGTACACTCCCTAATTTATAAAAAGCCCCAGTTTGATTAAGACACAGAAAACTGTCAATATCCCAGGGAGTATGCCCCTTCCCAGTCACTGTACACTCCCAGAAGTAATCTGAATTCTATCACTACAGGTTTGTTGTGCCTGTTCTAGAATTTCATATAAATGATACCATACAGTATGAAACTTTTTGTGACCAGTTTCTTCCAAGCATGGTAATACATATTGTGTATGTAACAGTTATTCCTCTTTCTTATTGAAAAGAATTTCATTGTTTATCTTTTCTTTCTTTCTTTCTTTTTTTTTTTGGATGGGTATCTGAGCTGTTTCCAGTTTGGGGCTATTACAAAGAAAGTTGGTATAAACATTCTTGTACAAGGATTTTGGTGAACATATGTTTTCATTTCTCCTTGATAAATACTTAGCAATGGAATTGTCAGATCATAGGGTAGATATAGATTACCTTTTCCACATATGCTCTTTTTTTCAATTATTTTTTTTATTTGGGAGAGAGAGAATGAGAGAGAGAGGGAGGAGGGTCAGAGGGAGAAGCAGACTCCCCGCTGAGCAGGGAGCCCGATGCAGGACTCGATCCTGGGACTCCAGGATCATGACCTGAGCTGAAGCAGTCACGTAACTAACTGAGCCACCTGGGTGCCCCACATATGCTCTTAATAATGAAAAATGTAAGATAAAATGAACACGAGCTGCAGGAGAGTTGAGATGGCAACTGTTTTGTGCCTTTTACTCCTCGTACTTACAACAATGTGTGACATAAAGTAGGTGCTCAGTAAATATTTGATGAATAAATAAAAGAGAGCAACATCAAAAATATGAAAATGGATGGGGCACCTGGGTGGCTCAGTTGGTTGGGTGACTGCCTTCGGCTTAGGTCATGATCCTGGGGCCCCAGGATTGAGTCCCTTATCGGGCTTCCTGCTCAGCAGGGAGTCGTCTTCTCCCCCTGACCCTCCCCCTCTCATTCTCTCTCTCTCAAATAAGTAAGTAAAATCTTAAAAAAATATATGAAAATGTGGGTGCCTGGATGGCTCAGGTGGTAGAGCATGCAACTCTTGATCTCAGGGTTATACAATGGAGCCCCATGTTGGATGTAGAGATTACTAAAAATAAAATCTTAAAAAAATTTTTTTAAAATTGACTTACACCTAATATAATACCACACCACTCTGTAGTCTCTTTCAACTGTTTTTGCATACAATTTAAATACTCAATTTCACAATGATCATTTTTTAATGGTATTGTTCTTGTATCAGAATCTTATCTGCCAAGCCCCACTCTTGTCCTAATATAAAACAAAGATTTATCAATTTTACAAAATCTTCCTTTTCCAACTTCACTAAGAGTTTTATTGATAAAACAGTACTTTGTTTTTGTTCTCCTTCCTTGTTCTCTGAATATTTACTGAATTAAATAACTATCATATTATTATCTACTTTTTGGTCCAATGCTCCACTTTATACTCATTATTAAGTCCACACTCATTATTTCATAATTAATCTATGGATTAGCTTGTTTTTAAACTCTATGTCTAAAAAAATAAAAATAAAAAAACAAAACTTTATGTCTTTTTGATTCATAGTCTTTTCAAGTGACAGTAAGGTCACAGGTATTTATAAGTTAGGCTTCTGTTCTAATAATTTTGTCACTTTAACATTAACTTCACTTTCTCAAATAGTATCATGACATAACCTTATATGCTGAAAGGTATGTATTAGTGATTTACAGAGTCATTGTTAATGTCTTTTAGGCAGTCTTTCTTAAAGAAACCACAGTAAATTATCTTTCAAATTGTTCTAAAACTTTCTGTAAATGTATCCATATGTGCCCTGTTTCTTGGAATAATTCTATGGTCTTTATATTAGATACTGTTGAGGTTTCTCAGAGTAGAAAAATAACTGGTTAATAAATGGAGAGTCACTAGCAAAATATAAGACTATAAGCTGTCCACTGAATAATGATTAAAAGTACAGTTTTAAAACTTGAAAGAAATTTATTTCAACAAGGTAATGGTGACTATTTATAGCCTAAGCAATATCTGGTTGGATAGACCTCAATCATGTTATAATCCCTGAGACAGTGACTTTAATTCCTCTAGCTGGAGAAGGGTGTACTAACTGAAAAGAAGATATGTGTATTATTTTAAGATTTAAATATACTTCTTGGGAGTGGAGTGGGTTAGCTATGATTTATTATACTATTTTAAGAATAGGTCATATCACCTGATCATAATTTATCCACCAAAAAAACACCAAAAGGGGCGCCTGGGTGGCTCAGTCGGTTAAGCGATTAACTTCGGCTCGGGTCATGATCCCAGGGTCCTGGGATCGAGCCCCGCATCAGGCTCCCTGCTCCACGGGAGGCCTGCTTCTCCCTCTCCCACTCCCTCTGCTTGTGTTCCCTCTCTCACTGTGTCTCTCTGTGTCAAATAAATAAATAAAAATCTTAAAAAAAAAAAAAAACACCACCAAAAGACAAAATTTTTGGTTAGTACCTATGAATTGGTATCACTTGATAAAGTAACATGTCGTATATGGGAATATACTTACTGGGATGTAACGTTGGGACATGTTGTCCAAGCCTGTCATCTTTTAGCATGTGTAGCAATGTTGTTTTTCCTGCATTATCCAATCCAAGAAATACCAATTTACCGGTTTTCTTATATAATCCTGCAGAGTAAGAGCTATGATTAGTCAAAATTCTATCTGACATAGATTATCCAAACAAAAAACTTTAAATAAAACTGTAATATAACATTTACAGTTTAGTTATTTGTATACTTTTCCTAATTAGATTTTTTTTTATAAAGAAACACCTATTAACCTTTTGAACTTGTAAGATTTTATAAACTGGCTTGAATAAGCTTGAATTTCTAGTCTATTTTTAGTTTTAATTTGTAAATTCAAGTCATTTCTTTTTTTAATATTTTATTCATTCATTTGACAGAGAGAGAGAGAGCAAGAGAGAGCACAAGTGGGGAAACAGCAGGCAGAGGGATCTGACCAGGATCATGACCTGAGCTGAAGGCAGATGCTCAACTGACTGAGCCACCCAGGAGCCCCTCAAATCATTTTAAAACTAAACTCTGTCCCAGTCATTGAAATGTGTTACCTAAACTTGTCTCAATACTACAACGCTGATCCCTTTGACAATTTAGGAATAAATATCAATGTCATCTAGTAGAGAAACAATCATAACACACTTGACATCATCTATTTGTGAAGCTGGACCAAAAGGAAAATTAAAGGGGCGCCTGGGTGGCTCAGTCGTTAAGTGTCTGCCTTCGGCTCAGGTCATGATCCCAGAGTCCTGGGATGGAGCCCCACATCGGGCTCCCTGCTCTGCGGGAGGCCTGCTTCTCCCTCTCCCTCTCCCCCTGCTTGTGCTCCCTCTCTTGCTGTGTCTCTGTCAAATGAATAAATAAAAATCTTAAAAAAAGGAAAATTAAAGAGATTTTTCATGGATGAAAATAAGTTAAGCACTTCTGACAATAATAATCATAGTGAGTTTTTTCAATAAAAAGTTTGGGTCACTGTCAGATTTCCCTGAGAATACGGTTAAACTATTCACAGGTTTACATAAAACTAAAGCAAAACAAAAAAAACCAAGCACATAATTTACATGTATCAGCTAATACTGATAGAGGAAGTGAAAGAAAAAAGAGCACTGACCAATTTACAAAAGATTGGCATTTACTGCAAAATTAAAAATTGAGCTTTATTTTTTTTAAAGGCTTTTTTTCAGAGCAGTTTTAGGTTTACAACAAAACTGACAGTTTTAAAATAAACTGACAGGGCGCCTGGGTGGCTCAGTTGGTTAAGCGACTGCCTTCGGCTCAGGTCATGATCCTGGAGTCCCAGGATCGAGTCCCGTATCGGGCTCCCTGCTCTGCAGGGAGTCTGCTTCTCCCTCTGACCCTTCCCCCTCTCCTGCTCTCTCTCTCTCATTCTCTCTCTCAAATAAATAAATAAATCTTTAAAAAAATAAAAATAAACTGACAAAACTCCCTGTCCCCACACATATATAGCCTCCCCCATTATCAACATCACTCACCCAACGATGAATCTACACTGATACATCATAATCACCCAGAGTTACCTTAGGGCTCACTCTTAGTGTTGTATATTCTGTATTTTGACAAACATATAAGAACATATATCCATCATTATAATATCATACAAAGTGTTTTCACGGCCCTAAAAATCCTGTAAGTTCTGCCTGTTCATCCCACCTTACCCCCACTGCCTGGCAACCACTCATCTTTTTATTGTCCCTATTATTTCTGCCTTTTTGCCTTGCCAGAATGTCATATAGTTGTAATTAGACAGTATGTAGCCTTCTGAGATTGGCTTCTTCCACTTAGTAATATGCATTTCAGCTTCCTCCATGTCTTTTCATGGCTTGATAGCTCATTTCTTTTTAGTGCTGAATACTCCATTGTCTAGATGAACCAGTTTATTTCTCCATTCACCTACTGAAGGATATCTTGGTTGCTTCCAAGTTTTGGCAATTATAAATGAAGCTGCTATAAAACATCAGTGTGCAGGTTCACACTGTTTTCAGCTCCTCTGGGTAAATACCAAGGAGCACAACTGCTGGATTGTATGGTAAGAGTATGTCTAGTTTTGTAAGAAATCACCCAATCTTCCAAATTTTGCATTCCCAGGAGTGAATGAAAGTTCTTGCTGCTCCACATCCTTGTCAGCATCTGGTGTTGTCAATGTCCAGCTTTTGAACATTCTAATAGGTATGTAGTAATATTGAACTTTATGTTTCATGTGTTTAATTGACACCCATGGAATTACATGAGGACCGGGGACATAGTAGTCATTCCAAAAATATTTACTCAATCAATAAATGAACTTTTAAAGACATTAGGCATTGTAATTCAGGCTACCCATTTAATAAGTTCATGCCAAAATAAAACCCAATTCTTTATCCACATTGAAGCTTAAGAAGTAAATTGTTTGAAGACCTGAACTTTTGATAACCCAGTGACCAACAATTCTGATCCTAAGGAGAAGACTGTCTTCCATATTTACTTGAGCTGGGTACTAAATTTCTCACTTAATCATGAATTATGACTAATAATTTTTTATAATTTGTTTTTTTTTTTTAAGATTTTATTTATTAAAGAGAAAGCAAAAGCAGAGGGAGAGGGAGAAGCAGACTCCAAACTAAGCAGGGAGCCCGATGTGGGGCTCTATCCCAGGACCCTAAGATCATGACCTGAGCCAAAGGCAGACGCTTAATAGACTGAGCTATCCAGGCACCCCTACATTTCTATTTCTTTTTTTTTTTTTTTTTAAGATTTTATTTATTTGGCAGAGAGAGAGACACAGCGAGAGAGGGAACACAAGCAGGGGGAGTGGGAGAGGGAGAAGTAGGCTCCCCGCCGAGCAGGGAGCCTGATGCGGGGCTTGATCCCAGGACCCTGGGATCATGACCCAAGCCGAAGGCAGATGCCTAACGACTGAGCCACCCAGGCGCCCCACATTCCTATTTCTTAAAACGTTTCTACATCGATTGTTTCTTTTACTTTTTTTTTAAAGATTTTATTTATTTATTTGACAGAGAGAGACACAGCGAGAGAGAGAGCACAAGCAGGGGTAGTGGGAGAGGGAGAAGCAGGCTTCCAGCCGAGCAGGGAGCCCGATGTGGGGCTCGATGTGGGGCTCGATCCCAGGACCCTGGGATCGTGACCTGAGCTGAAGGCAGACGCTTAACGACTGAGCCACCCAGGCGCCCCTACATCGATTGTTTCTAACCAGTGCAATCACAATCAATCTTACCATACTTTTAAGTAGTAAAAGTGCACTGGACAAAATTCCAAAAGGGAACACCTAGAACATTTAAACTTTAATCTTTAAAGTGGGTTGGACTAAATCCTTATTTTGTGATAGGCACTATTAAGCAAACTGTTACACATTATTTAATCTTCAAAATAACTCTTGGAGGGTGCCTGGGTGGCTCAGTTGGTTAAGCGACTGCCTTCGGCTCAGGTCATGATCCCGCAGTCCCAGGATCGAGTCCTACATCAGGCTCCCTGCTCAGCGGGGAGTCTGCTTCTCCCTGTGCCCCTACCCCCTCTTTTGTGCTCTCTCTCTCTCACTCTCAAATAAGTAAAATTAAAAAAACAAAAAATAACTCTTTGAAGTAAACATTATTATCCTCTTTTTTACAGAGGGGAACAAAGGCTCAGAGTTAACTTGCTCAACTGCTGAAGTCAGATATGAGATTTGAAACCATGCCTGATGCCTAAGCTTTGGTTCATTTCATTTCTCTACACTGCCTCCTACTGTTAGCCCTATTAACCTCTTGCTCCTGCTTATGAGGCAATTTATTTTGCTTTTTCTTTTTTTTTTTAAAGATTTTATTTATTTATTTGACAGAGAGAGAGAGACAGCGAGAGAGGGAACACAAGCAGGGAGAGGGTCAGAGGGAGAAGCAGGCTTCCTGCCGAGCAGGGAGCCCGATGCGGGGCTCGATCCCAGGACCCTGAGATCATGACCTGAGCCGAAGGCAGACGCTTAACGACTGAGCCACCCAGGCGCCCCTTATTTTGCTTTTTCAACACAGTTCACCATAGGTTAATTTTTCTATAAACTGAGATACAGATACCAACCTGTTACAACCCGGGTTATCCCAGTATAATGAAGTTTAAAATGTTTATTTCTGACCCAGTTGTTAAAAATTGTAATAAAATATTTCAGTCTGATAAAAATATTTAAGAATTCTTGAGGTACTATAGAGAGATCTGATATTTGACCTGTAGTAGAGTGACAGTATAAAATGTGAAGAATTTTATTTTAAAAAGGAAAAAGAAAACCTTAATTTTTAAAAATGTGCAAACACTGAGGTTCAAATAAGAAATAAAAATAGATTGACAAAATTTGATCTCACATTTTTATCCTTTTAATATATAGTAGTCAAACAAAATGTGTATTTTCCAAACAAAATTTATTTCCTTTGTTAAAATTATGTTTGTGGAAAAAGAGCCATTTATATAGGAGATAGTAATTCATAAGTACAGTTGTGGCCAGTTAGGAATTATGTTGACAACTCTGTAATTACATGAAATGCTTCTCTTTGTTCCAGTTCAAGATGATGATTACAAGGAGACTAAACTTAGGGCATGGTTTGAAAATAGGAGACCAGAAATATCTTCATTAATTACTATAATAAATTGTGTACGTTGTAACATAAAAAAGTTAATCAAAAGCTTGTTTCACTGAAAAATGTGAGAAGTTAAGAGTGTCAATAAGAGAATGAGATGCTAAAATTTTTCCTCTTTAAAATCTATAGAAGAGAGGAAAATCACTAGTCAGATTTGCTGCGTAAACAAGTCTCATTTAGCAGACTATACGCTGCCAGTTATGATATACAAGGCACTTTATGGAACGTGTATTTTATAGTAACAAAAATAATGCAGAAAATTCCTGTGAGGATTAAATGAGATAAAGTATCTAAAGCACTTAGGTAAACTGGCTAATCAAAGGTAGCTATTCCTGTAAATAATATTCCTATCAACAATCTTAAGGGGTAGGAATTATTTTTAATTTACAGATAAGGAAACTAAGGTTAAGGTGGAGAAAGTAATTTGCCCAAGACTACATAATTTATAAGAGATACAATGAGTAACTGAACATGTTTGTATGATTTCAAAGCCCACATTCGCAACTACTGGGTTATATATAAAGAGGCTCTAGACAAATAAGCACTTTTATTTAAGTAGGATTAAATGGGATAACAATAGAGAACAAAGAACCAACATACCTAAAAACTGTAGCACACTGCTGAAACCACTATAAATCCAGTCAAATATGAAGGACATATCCAAATCTTATATAGAGTCTGAAAAAGAAAGTGTTTTGAATTCAGTAGTCAACATTTAACAACAACATTAAAGAGGAACTCTGAGTAAATAATCCTACAACAACCTTACTATAAGGAGTTAGCCATTCTTACCCAGGGTGGTCTAATCTGATCTATACTGATGCATAAAAAACAAAATGCCATTAAAATACAAACTAGTGGGGTGCCTGGCTGGCTTAACTGGTAGAACATTCAACTCTTGATCTCAGGGTAGGGAGTTCAAGCCCCATGTTGGGTGTACAGCTTACTTTAAAAAAAAGGTGGGGGGGACGCCTGGGTGGCTCAGTCGGTTAAGCGTCTGCGTTTGGCTTGGGTCATGATCCCAGGGTCCTGGAATCGAGTTCCACATTGGGCTCCTTGCTCATCGGGGAGCCTACTTCTCCCTCTGCCTGCTTCTCCCCCTGCTTATATCCTCTCTCTCTCTGACAAATAAATAATTAAAATCTTAAAAAAAAAAAAAAGGGAGGGGTGCCTGGGTGGCTCAGTGGTTAAGCGTCTGCCTTCAGCTCAGGTCATGGTCCCAGGGTCCTGGGATCGAGCCCTGCATCAGGCCCCCTGCTCGGCAAGGAGTCTGCTTCTCCCTCTCCCACTCTTCCTGCTTGTGTTTCTGCTCTCGCTTTCTCTCTGTAAAATAAATAAATAAAATCTTTAAAAAAAAAAAAAGGGAAGAAAAAAAAGCGAAAGCCCTCTTTCCATTTTTAAAAAACCAAAAAAATTGGGGTGCCTGGGTGGCTCAGTCGGTTAAGCGACTGCCTTCGGCTCAGGTCATGATCCTGGAGTCCCGGGATCGAGTCCCGCATCGGGCTCCCTGCTCGGCGGGGAGTCTGCTTCTCCCTCTGACCCTCCTCCCTCTCATGCTATCTGTCTCTCATTCTCTCTGTCTCAAATAAATGAATAAAATCTTTAAAAAAATAAAAAATAAAAAACCAAAAAAATTTTAATTAAAAAACAAACTAGAGACCATTATTTGCCAATCAGAGTGGCAAACACGAAAATGAATTATAACAGCCAGAACTGGAAAAGATGTCGTAAGAGAGGCAGTTAATAGCAGTATAAATTGATGCAAATCTTTTTAATAACTAATTCGCCAGTAATATATGTTATACTGTTTGACCCAAGAATTCTACTTACTTACTTACTTATTTATTTTTTTAAAGATTTTATTTATTTGGGCGCCTGGGTGGCTCAGTTGGTTAGGCGACTGCCTTCGGCTCAGGTCATGATCCTGGAGTCCTGGGATCGAGTCCCACGTCGGGCTCCCTGCTCAGCGGGGAGTCTGCTTCTCCCTCTGGCCCTTCCCCCTCTCATGCTCTCTATCTCATTCTCTCTCAAATAAATAAATAAAATCTTAAAAAAAAAAAAAGATTTTATTTATTTGACAGAGAGAGACACAGTCACAGAGGGAACACAAGCAGGGGGAGAGAGAGAAGCAGGCTTCCCGCTGAGCAGGGAGCCCGATGTGGGGCTCGATCCCAGGACCCTGGAATCATGACCTGAGCCGAAGGCAGACGCCTAACGACTGAGCCACCCAGGCACCCTTACTTACTTATTTATTTAAGGTATGCTTTAACTCACAACCCTGAGATCAAGACCTGAGCTGAGATGAAGAGTTGGACGCTTAACCAAGTGACCACCCAAACCCCCCCCCAAGAGTTCTACTTTTAGAAATTGTCCTAAATATGGACAATCTTTATGTATACAGATGTGCATCAAAGCATTATGTAAGAAAAATTTTGGAAATAATCTATATTCAACAGTAAGTTAAATGAAGTATATATGGTCTATGAAATAGGTACCAAAACCTTAGAGTAGGGGAAGGAAGAGCAAGGAGAAAGAGATGAAAAAAGGAAATTTATGATAATAAGTTTCCGAGTCTGATTATAGCTATGTGGAGTAAAAACCCTCTTTCTGTTACTTTTGGTCTTTTGTAGTAAATGGTAACAGGTGGTCAATTTCTGGGTCTGTCATCTTTCGGCATTTTTCAAATTTTAATCATATTACTGAATGTTAAAAAACATTTTCTTAAATCACAGTAGAACATGCAGAGTATAGTTCTGTATAGCATTTACTTGACATGGGCTTGATAACTAATAAAGCTAATATGGAAAGAAGAGGAAAAAAATCCTGGAGAAATGAAAGATCACATATACAAAAATACACTTTCAGATCAACAAAGTTCATTTTCTAGAGCTAAACAAAACCCAGGCCCAAAACTTGGGCCAAGTCCAAACAATTTGAAAGGTTCTGCTATCTTTGACATTCTTTAGACAAAGTGTGACACACAACAGTGCTTTCTTTAACCACCTCTCAGTCAGTGGGCTGCCAACCTGATCCAGACAGGCCCACCAAACTCAGAATTGCTAGAGGATAAGGTGTTAAGAGATTACACTGCCTTGAAAATGAGAGACGAAAGAGACACCTACCTCCAGTTTAGAAGGCCTAGCAGTATTTACTAGGCGATTCCCTGAATCCAGGCAACAGCCTCTCCCCTCTTCCATCCACTTACTTGAACTCGCCAGAGCAAAATTTTGCTCTTGCAACCAGTCCATTCCTGACTGAGAATGACTCACAAATTATAAAGTTTCGTATGTCAGTAGCACAAGAATGAGAACTAGAAGAGCCACATATATATATACAAAAATTCAGGGACGCCTGGGTGGTTCAGTAGGTTAAGCGTCTGCCTTCAGCTCAGGTCATGATCCCAGGGTCCCGGGATCAAGTCCCACATTGGGCTCCTTGCTCAGTGGGGAGCCTGCTTCTCCCTCTACCTCTGCCCCTTCCCCTGCTTGTGCGTGCTCGCTCTCTCTCTCTCTCTCTGACATAACAAATAAATAAAATCTTTAAAAAAGACTCTCTCCCTCTGCTTCTCACCACTGCTCACTCTCTCTCTCTAAAATAAATCTTAAAAAAAAATCCAGTACCGGGGCGCCTGGGTGGCTCAGTTGGTTAAGCGACTGCCTTCAGCTCAGGTCATGATCCTGGAGTCCCAGGATCGAGTCCCACATCGGGCTCCCCGCTCAGTGGGGAGTCTGTTTCTCCCTCTGACCCTCTCCCCTCTCACTCTCTCAAATAAATAAATAAAATCTTAAAAAAAAAAAAAAATCCAGTACCTTAGAAGTTCTTATTTTACTCAAGTTGAAAATTATATCTCATTCTATTATTATTCTAGGTCATGTAGAAATTGAAACTTGTAGTCACAGAAAACATATACAAGTGGCTTATCTTTTCTGAAGATTTTTAGGTAAGATGTATGTTTTTCAAACAGAATCATAATTTTCACTCTAGGGAATCAAATAAAGCAGTGGTGTATTGAGACATTTTATTTAATTCAATAATGATTACCAAGTTCATATTATGTCCAAGGTCCTAAGCTAAGACACCATGGGGGATACAAATACTGATGATAAACATGGCTCTTTCTCTTGAAAAGGTTAAAGTCTAGAGAGGTAAGTTAGCTACACAAATGTAATTCAACTGAAAAATGTTAAAACTGAATAGGATATTATCTAGGATGGTAACAACTTACCCTATAGAATTTCAAAACTTATACAAACACAAAGAAAAAGACTGTCCATATTGTAAATGATAAGCTATTAGGGGATGAATGATCATAACAGTGTAAAATCAGAATAAAGAGAAGTAATGCAGTAGGAAGGAGTATGGAATGCTCACAAATGTACTTTATGCTTTGTATAGAAAAAGAGAAAACCAGTCCTCCTTGTCTCTACATCCAGAGTCCTATTTCCACAGTTCTACAGAGACAAGTTGTAGCTAAGGAAAGGTTTGTTTTGTTTGTTTGTTTGTTTAAGATTTATTTATTAGAGAGAGAGACAGCGAGAAAGGGAACACAAACGGGGGAGTATGAGAGGGAGAAGCAGGCTTCCGGCTGAGCAGGGAGCCTGATGCGATGTGGGGCTTGAATCATGACCTGAGCCAAAGGCTGACCCTTAACGACTAAGCCACTCAGGTGTCCCTAAGGAAAGGTTTCTTGGATGATGTTCAGTCTGAATCTTGAAGATTAAATAAGAGTTTGCTAAGTGGTTTTTATACTATGTGGAGAGGTGTGAAACTAAGTGGGGACAGCAAAAAGTCAGGTACTGTGAAATGATGGGACAGGTTAGGGGGCTGCAAACTTAGCATCAGTCAACAGGTGCTCACAAGTGAGGCATAAGTCAGAATGAGAAACAAATCTGATACTAAATTTAGGCATTTGGTCTTCATGCTTGCTACCCATAACATATTGACATAGGAAATAATACCGAATCAGTCTTTCAATTTAATAAAGCAAAGCTAACAAGAAATAGCAGCTACCCCCATGAGCATTATGATTTGTTGAAAGGTTAAGAACAAGAACTACGGGGTCACGTGGGTGGCTTAGTCATTAAGCGTCTGCCTTTGGCTCAGGTCATGATCCCAGGGTCCTGGGACTGAGCCCCACGTCTGGCTCCCTGCTCAGCGGGAAGCCTGCTTCTTCCTCTCCCACTCTTGCTTGTGTTCCCTCTCTTGCTATCTCTCTCTCTATCAAAAAATAAATAAAATCTTAAAAAAAAAAAAAAAAAGAACTACAGAGCCAGGATTTTACTACCAACCTTAGGCAAGTTACTTCAATTTCCTTACCTGTAAACTGGGAATAACAGTAGCTACCTGAGATGGTTGTGAAGATTAAATCCATTACTATACACAAAGCACTTAGCATCTGGCATGGAGGAAGCATTCAGCATTAGCTGCTCTTATTTCTTCTACCATGTGGCCCACAGGACTAGGCACTTTGTGAATGTCACCACTAAACACCCCAACAACCTTTCAAAGTAAATATATTATTATTATTTTTTTTTTTTTTTAAGTAGGCTCCATGCCCAATGTGGGGCTTGAACTGAGGACCCTGAGATCAAGAGTCGCGCATGCTCTCCTGACTGGGCCCCCAAGTAAATACATTACTGTTCCCATTTTACAGAAGAAGAAACTGAAGTTACAATAGC